TGAGACCCTTAACATCTACAAAGAGGCTAATACCCTCACCAGACAACAGCGGTTTGCCGCAACAGACATTGTTTTCAAGTCCATGCTGACTGCAATCACTGTTAAATGCCATGCCTGGCACAGAACAGCCAATATTCTTGACGACACAAAGACAAAAATCGAAGATCTTCTCTTCGACGCTGTCGGACTATTCAATTCTAAAACTGATGAGATTATGGGAAACATTCATAAAATGAGGAAGACAGCGAAATCCTACGTACCATACGAGCGGTATCGGTACCATAAACAGGCCTACAGATAGCCCCAGTACCAATCCTCCACTCAGTACCAACCATTTCGGAACAATAAGCAACAGCAGGATCGGACTTAAGAAACCCAACAGTCCACCACTCTGCTGTTCAAGCAACAACGTTTTTGTAGCCCCAAGCAGTCCTTTCGAAAGACTCAGCACAGGGGTAAGCAGTTCTCCTAATTCTTCATTTTCCACAAGATTGTTCCCATTCCTGCATGAATGGCATACCATCACTACTGACAAGTGGGTTCTCAGCATCGTTGAGAAAGGCTATAGAATTGAGTTCTCACGAACCCCTTTACAAAATTCGGTCAAATCTACCCCATTTTCCATGCCACTGCATTTGGTAATTTTGTCCTTACTATCCAAGGGGGCCATAATTAGAATACCATCATCAGACATCAGTGAGGGGTTTTTCTCTTGCTATTTTGCAGTCCCCAAAAGGGACGGGGATATAAGACCCGTCATGGACCTCAGAGACCTTAATCAGTACATACTTTACAAGAAGTTCCGTATGCTGACTCTTAATTCCATTCTCCCTCTCTTATCCCAAGGAAACTGGTTCATCACCATCGACTTACAAGACGCCTATTTCCACATCTCCATCCACCCGTCTCATCAAAAATTTCTCCAGTTCCGGTTCTACCACAGTACCTTCCAATTCACCGCTCTACCATTCGGGCTCTCCACAACCCCCAGGACATTCACAAAATGCATGGCACCAGTCATGGCATACCTTCGCACCAAAGGGATAAAAATCATTCCCTACATCGACGATTGGCTTCTAGTGGCACAGTCTTACCACGAAGCCGTCTCTGCCACAGATCGTACTCTTTGCACCCTGGAAAAACTTGGGTTGAAAATCAACGCGAAAAAGTCAAACCTGATACCCTCCCAGATTGTCTCCTATTAGGAGCAACCCTGGACTGTGTGCGCGCAAGAGCCTTTCTACCATCCCAGCGGATTCGCAAGATCCAGGCGGCGGTCTACAGATTCACGCCATTCGCAACAGTAACAGCACATGAGACTCAGCGTATTCTAGGTGTGATGGCATTCACCACCTCAGTGGTACCATACGCAAGACTGAAACTCAAACCCCTCCAGTCCTGGTTCCTCATTCAGTTAGATTCCGTGACAAACCCGCCTTCAAAAAAGCTAAGAATCCCTCCACACGTAGCTCGACATCTCGTCTGGTGGACCAACCCCAGCAACTTGTCACTGGGAAGACCATTCCACCCTCTGTACCTGTCTATACAAGTTGTCATGGATGCCAGCCCCTTGGGCTGCAGCGCACACTGCCAAGAGCTACGAGTTCACGGCCTCTGGACTGCAAGCCAAAATGCCATCCACATAAATCAGCTAGAGCTGTTAGCTGTCACGAAGGATGTGCAGTACAACTGGTAACAGACATTACCACAGTGATGCACTACATCAACAGACAAGGTGGAACCCGATCCCGGCCTCTCCTTCAACTGACCATGTGATTCTGAGAATGGTGCCATATGCACGATATTTTCCCTCAAGCGATCCATATCGCGTCCAGGGACAACTCCCTGGTGGACCATTTGAGCAGGCTTCCCACTAGAATGCACGAATGGGCCCTAGACCAGACGATTTTTCTGGAACTCTGCCATCGATGGGGATAGCCACGTTGGACCTCTTCACGTCCAATCTGAATGCCAAATGCGACCGGTACTGCTCCAGGGCGGGCATAGACGCTTCCTCCCTCGGAGGCGCCTTTCTCATACCATGGTCGGGAGAACTAACTTACCTCTTTCCCCCAATACCACTACTTCTCTGGACAGTAACCAGGATTATCCAGTACCAAATGAACGCAATCCTCATCTCCCCATGGTGGCTGCGACAGCCTTGGTTTGTCCACTTATCAGAAATAACGGAGGAAATATTCCACCTACCTCTGATACCGTCCCTCCTCTCGCAGAACAACGGGGCCCTTCTCCATCCCGATGTCCGGTCCCTTCACCTGATGGCGTGGAGGATAACCCCCAATTCCGTGCAGTCCTAGATCAAGCGTGGAAACCATCCACCTCTCGTCTATACAAAGGTAAATGGAAAGCCTTTACCAAATTTGCCTCACTCTACTCTCACTCTACTCAAGTCTACATTTTGGCAATCGTCGCCCACCAACCTCCTCGATCCCGCTCTGCCAGGCTCTTCTCTGACCCTACACTCAAGAGATTTTAAAAGGCCTCCAAAACGTACGATCTCCTTCTCAAAACATCATACCACAATGATCCCTTCCACTCGTACTGGAAGCTCTTACCAAGCCACCATTTGAGCCAATGGCTACGTGTTCAGAGAAACCGCTTTCTCTTAAAACCGCCTTCCTTGTGGCCATTACATCGGCCAGAAGAGCAAGTGAACTCGCCGCATTACAGTCAGACCCTCCTTATCTTCAAATGCATCCTGACAAGGTCACTTTATACATGGACATCTCCTTCTTACCGAAGGTGGTATCGGATTTTTACATTAATCAGCCTATTGTGCTTCCAACACTATTCCCTTCTCCGTCCATGCCATTAGAGCGTAAACTCCATTCTCTCTATGTCAGAAGAGCCCTTGCCTTCTACCTGCATCGTACCAAGCACATTAGACACTCCCCGCGTCTTCTCCTGTGTTACCACAGACCACGTAAAGGTGCTCCTGCTTCTTCACAATCAGTATCCAGAATCGATGTTCAGCTCATACAGCTGGCTTACCAGCTGCTCCATAAGCCTTTTCCGGAGGGACCAAAGGCCCATTCTACCAGGGCAGTCTTCACTTCAACAGCCCTGTTCAAAGGTGTCCAACTACAAAACATATGCAAGGTGGCTACCTGGGCCACCCCTCTGACGTTTGCCAGACACTACCGCCTGGATGTCAGAGCCAAAAATGATGCGGTGTTTGGACGGGCGATACTATCATCCTTGATATCGTGACAGCCCTCCTTCTGGTGAGTACAGCTTGCTATTCATCCATTTGTGTGCATTCACAGAGACCACTGTGAAGAAAATTAGGTTACCTACCTGTAACTTTGGCTGTTCTAGTGATACTCTGTGAATTCACACATCCCTCCCTTCCTCCCCTCTGTCTGTCATGGTACTGTTCTGTGATACCATGCTTATCTATTTTTATACGGTAACGGCGGACTTAGGGAACTGAAAGGAAGACGGAGGAGGCGGAGCCTATATAACCTTTGGGGGGAGCTAATTGACTCTCTTTTCTAAAGCTCTAGAATCTTCCGGACATCCTGCACAGGTGCAGGATTAACCCATTTGTGTGAATTCACAGAGTACCACTAGAAGAACCAAAGTTACAGGTAGGTAACCTAACTTTCTAGAGTAAAACAATTTGTAAGTATTTGGTTAAATTCACTTCATTTTGCCCTCGCCAAGTATCAACTATGTTTTAATGTCCTATTTCTTGCTTTACAATTTCAAGCTTGCCTTAATTCCTGCTCCTTGCATTCATGTTCCAACTGTGTGTCATGCAGCACTGAGCTGTACTCTGTGCACATCAGCCACTAGATGTCCTTTCAACTTCAATCCATTTGTTTGTGACAGTGCTATTTGTACTTACCCTATGCAATTCCTCTGTAGTTGATTGGGTGCTTTCTGACCTGGAAGCCTCATCTTGCAGCACCATCTCTTGCTTCTTTTTGAATTGTCTAATCATAGGGTTTTTAAAATTATTTAGAAATGGTTTACCATTACTTTTTGCACAATACTAACAAGGCTTAGTGTCACTGCCATTGTCCATGAAAGATCCTTCACCAGTGTCACTTTCCACTTCTGGTGGTGCCTGGTTCTTGTTCTCTTAGAATTTCTCTAGCCCTTCAACATTGGAACTGCCAATTCTCTTCTGCTGATGCTAATGTTAATTACCAAGGACACAGAATGTATCATAATCTGTCTCAGCATCACCATTTTGCTTTGCATGACCCTACTAGTTGTCTAGCCTTCTAATGAAGTCTAGTATCTTCACAGTATTTATCTCAGCTTTGTTAAATTCAGTCCTCTGCTTTTTATTCTCGCCATCTCTTTATGTTATCAGATCGCAATGCAGCAGTGATATTGGCAGGATTCTCTCATCAGAATATAAAAAGAACTACAGTGGTACCTTGGTTTACGAATGTAATGTGTTCTCTGGGACGTTTGGTATTGTGAAAAATTCACAGACCGAAATGTGGTTTCCCATATGAATGCATGCATGGGGGTGGCGCTATAGACCTCCCAGGCGCAATGCATCCTGGGGAAACTTGCATCATATTGCGAAAAAAATTGTAAACCGAGGCATTGTTTTCAATGGATTTTCATTCCTAAACCGAAAATTGCATTAACTGAGGTGTTCATAAACCAAGGTACCAGTGTATTTCCCTTTAGATTTGAGTACCAGTTCCATATCCCTTGTTAAACCTCCATTTCACATTTCGGAATAGTTATTGCCTTAATTCGGGTTGAACTAACTCCAGATAAGTCCTACTTTAGAAGATTTTCTGTCTTAAGAATCAGGTCACAGTCTTTCCTCTCTGCCAATCCTTGTACTTTGATAGGACTGTTTTTTCCTAGAAGAGTCCGTTGATTGTTTCCAAACGTTTGTGCTTGTCCAGTCAGTGTGCCAGCAAGAGTTGGCTAGCACTTGCCATGATCAGAATTCTAATAGATGCATTTATTCTTATGCTTGTCTGTTTCTTTCTGTTTACATTCAGGTTTACTCAAAGAGTGTTCCATTCAGCAGAGGGACTACAGTGAAATTAAACAACTTTTAAGTCATAGCTGTCTTGACATGAAATATAACTTCGAGAATTTCTGGCAGATTGAAAAAGTACAGATCGTACAAAATAGATATCTAGAGGAAGACTTTATTGCAAAGAGGTGAATTGTTTTCGTAAGACCCAGTGAATGAATTATGTTTTATCTATCACAGTTGTATCACACTGTTCATCCAAGTGATGTACAAAGGTTTCTATCTCTGCATCTGTTCAAAAGTCCTATGAAGTAGATTAGGTTGAAAGACTATGAGAAGGTGGACAGGGAAAAGACTTCCCCTGTTGGCATGCTATCCCTTCCCACACAAGAGAGATAGAAACCTTGAACTCACCAATAAATATGGGGGAGGGGTATCACCCTCAGACTTCCTGGAGAGACCAGAAAGCCGGGAAATGAAAGAAAGACTGGAAAAAGTGCAACAGAAACAGGAAGAGGAGCTAGTGGAGAAGGAGATAGAGGAAACAGATTGGGGCGTCCGTGCGTGGAAAACTGAATAAAGGCAGGAAGGTGCTAGAGACAGATGGCTATCTAGAAGAGGAAGAGAAAACTGATGATGAATTCCTAGAAGAGTGGGAATATATAGAGGTAGAAAATCCATGGAGAAGTGAACTAGCAAGGTTTAAGGTGCCCAGGGAGGAAGCCAATCAACAGATAAACTGACACCCTCCAATAAAGTCATCTTATTGGGAGGAAAGAGGAGAGAGAGCTGCAATGAAGGGAAAGGGGCAAAGGTTCTAGAAATGAGAATATTGGCAAGACAGTATGGAGCTTGTCCCTTGGCACAGCCCAACAGCACATATCTCCACCCCTAAAAACCCTGAGTCAGGAGGATGAGATAGAGACCTGTGTGGGAACTGGATCAGGTATCCATGTTACAATACCCTTTGTTGGGGGCCATGTTCATACCATCCATCCAATGAGGTGAAAGAATCCAGTGAGGAGTTGTGTTACTAGTAGAGACTGGAAGTTGGGACTTTACCCCAAAGTGTTATGAGTCATGGCTTCAGAATCAGAACCGTTGCTGATCCCTTTTAAGTAGTTGTAGAGACGTTAAAACAGTTGATGTAAAACAAGAAATATTAATTGGTGATTCCCTGGAACTCATGGCTAACAAGCAACGGAAGAGCATACCTGTTCACAAAGACTTTGACTTGCCCAAAGCCACCTGGTGAGCTCAGTGGTTGATCTGGGACTTGCTCATTGTCATAGTATTAGAAGATAATACCTCTGTGATAGCAAACTGTTGGCCCCATATAATGCATATGTAATTGTGTCTGTAGTCCCAAGACTTGCAATATAGTCTTTGTCAGGATAGCTTTTTCATGGTTATAGATTCACAAGTTTGACAAAAAAAAATTCTTCAGGATAAGTCACATAATGATGGGAATCTTGTACATCTTTAATGTGCATAAGGCTGATGATGTCATCAACTGTAGCTGTTTTGGTGGAATTAAACATTTCTGCTGCACTCCTTGCTAAAGGTTCTGAGGCTTCAATGGAATCCTATTCATTGTGGGGAAGCCATTGAGGCAGTGGGATAGGAGGATGCCTTTAATTCATGAAAAATGGTCATTACACTTGTTTTATGTGGCATAAAGTTGTGTAACAGGGTTTCACTCTGTAATGTAATTCAATAAAATTAGTTGTGTTGAATTGTAATCTACATAATCCTGACAATATACAGTGGTGTCCCGCTTGATGATGATAATCTGTTCCAGGAAAATCGCCGTTAAGCGAAATTGTCATCAAGAAAAAAACATTGGAATGCAATGAAAACCGGTTAATGCGTTCCAGTGGGGGAAATACCTGCTCATGCAGCGAAGATCCTCCGTAGGGCGGCCATTTTGCGATCCCTGTCTTGCGGAAATAGGTCCGGAAAACAGCGGGGAGCCATTTTGCAAACCGCCAATCAGCTGTTTTAAATTGTCGTCTTGTGAACAATTGGTTCGCGAAACAGAGACCCTAATCATCGTAAAGTGAAAAAACCTCATAGGAACCATCGCTTTGCGATCGAAAAAAACTCATCGTCAAGTGATTTCATCATCAAGCGGGGCACCACTTTATAGTATGTAACATGCTAAAAACAACCTGGCCAAATAAAATCAGGAAAATTAGCCACTAAAGTAATAATCTCCCTCCGCAATAATGGAGCAATAAGTAGGGAAATGTTCTTTCATATTTTTTGATTGCAACTCCCAGAGTTCTCCAGGAACTCCCCAGGCAGATTCTGGGATGTGCAGACCAGCAATTTTAATCTGCAGACCAGTTTTCTGGGGTTTTTTAAATCTGTGGTCGCTGTCTTCAGGCTATTTCTACTTAAAAAACAAGGAAGTCACCACAGTGCTATCTGGGAGCCATAGGTCCTCAGGCGCCATCGTCTATAGAACCTAATAGGCAGTGAGACTGTAACTCCCCAGCTCTCTCCATATCCAGGTGGGATTACCCCTGCTGGTCAGTCAACTACAAAATGTTGTGTTCCAAAATATGTGCAGTTTATTGCAGTTCTGAACTGTGTACGTTTATAGAGTGGGATTACCCCTGCTGGTCAGTCAACTATAAAATGTTGTGTTCCAGAATGTGTGCAGTTTCTTGCACTTCTGAAATGTGCACGTTTATAGAGTACAGTGGTGCCCCGCTTGACGAGTACCTCTCTTCATGACGAAATCGCTTCACGATGAGGTTTTTGCGATCGCTATTGCGATTGCAAAACAATGATGGATCATGACGAAATCGCTTCACGATGAGGTTTAGCGATCGCAAAACGATGATGGAATGGGGAAAATCTGCTTTACAATGATCGGTTCCCTGCGGGAACCGATTCTTCGCATTACGACAATCAAAAACAGCTGATCGTCAGGTTTTCAAAATGGCCGCCCGCTGTTTTCCAGACCTATTTCCGGAAGACAGTGACTGAAAATGGCTTCCCCTATGGAAGATCTTCGCTGGACGATGAGGGATTTCGTCCATTGGAATGCATTGAACCGGTTTTCAATGCATTTCAATGTGTTTTTTCTTTCGCTTGACGACAATATCGCTTAACAGCAATTTTAACAGAACGGATTATCATTGTCAAGTAGGGCAGCACTGTACTTCTGGTCACCTAGCTGGGTGGTTTGAAGGGCACCAAGGAAAGCATGTCTCGCATATTTGTGAGCAGTGTAAAATTAAAGTACATTGGGGGATGTCAAATCCTATTAATGTGGTTTCTGGTTGGCTAAAAATGCTCCCTTTGTTCCTTTCAAAACGAGGAATAGATTCTAAAAGATGATAGCAACAAAATATTACTGGTGAATAGATACTCCAGCATAAGAATAATGACATAACATGTAATGATGCTTAAAATGAGCTGTTCCATATTTTTGGAGAGCAGCCCTCAGAGTTCTCCAGAAATTCCTCAGACAGATTCTGGGATGTGCAGACTTAAGTCTGAAGACCAGCTTTTTTCTCTGAATCATTCAGCTCCCTTGTATTTCCTGACAGGTCAATTTGCCTGCTTAATTGTCTAAACTCCCCACTCCATAGTTTTCTTTACTTTCCCTTAGTTAACCAGTCATACAACTATTCCATTCGACTTTTTCTCCACCAATAAAAGCTAACACTTTAACAGAGATGGATTGTAGTTTGGACCAGTGGTCAGAAAAATTCCATGGCTAATATAAGAGGGACAGGTAGCTACTCAAAAATTTATTTAGAGGCTAGTTTCACTTGGTTAAAGATTCTGAACTTGCATTAATATTATTGGCCAGTTTAAATAAGATGGCTAATTATACTGGAAATACTTCAAGGGAACAGAAGTGAAAAATATTTGCCTGTTTAGAACTTCTCTGCCTAGATGGTGAACTGGTGAAACAGAACTATTGGACCTGATCCCCTTTTTTTAAACATATATTTTTATATTACTTGTAAGCTGCCTTGAAAGGAATTTTATCTTGCAAGTCAAAAGATTAATACAGTACATGAAAACGAAAATAATGAATAAGTAAATAAAATAGATAAAGGCAAATTGTTGTTGAGGATAATTGTATAGAAAGAAAATTACTGCACAAACTATGTGACCCTTCAGGCTTGGTCGGTGAGTGCCAAACTAGGGCTTGGCCTTGAAGCATTTTCTATGGGCTGCAATATAACAGATACTTTAAGAATAATTATATCTTGGTTTAAGAAGATGGCTCGAAACACTTTATATTGAGGTGCATCCTGAGAAGTCCTAAAATAGGCAGGTCCATTAAAACTGTAAATGTTGTGTTCCAGTTTGAGACCTAAGGAGGTGGAATAACTAGGTGCTGTTAAATGTATATGAAGTATGTAATACTATTAGGAAATATGAGTTAAACTTTTGTTTCTGATTATCAGGGCTAAGTTGCGTGAAGAAGGAAGACCAGATAAAGAGCTTTCTTGCTTTTTAGTTGTGCCTAAAGAAGAAGTCTCAAACATTTGTCAGGGTAGCCTTCATATTGGTCATTCTAAGGAAGAACTAAATGTCACGAAACAACTAGGAAATCCTCAACTTGGAGTATATTTATTCAGATATGTTGATATTGCTCTGCGTTATGCATCCAACCGCTCATTTCCTATAGAAAATATAATCATTTTCAGGGTAAGTGGTACATGTGGAAATCATCCTTATATTATAGCATCATTGCAGGTCATTGATTGGATCCAAAATTTCCCTTTCTCCTTTGTAAAGAGACTTTCTAAACTGATTTAAAACTGCAGAGATAATATGTAGCTATTCAAGACTGAATAAAGTATGAAAATAGAATTTTAAAATATTATATTAGAATACAAATTCCAAGACAGATTGCCTTTATTCTGATCTGCAGTGTAAAGTTCTTGGTGCTCTATTTAGCACCAGTCTTGTTGGAGGCCACACAGTATACAATCATGCTTGAATGAGTGGCTCTATGCCACTAGGGAGTAGAACAGGTAGAGACAGGAGGTTATGGTTCTTTAGTATGATCTGCTTTTGGCTCTGTTGCTTCCTCTTCTATAGACTAGTGCTCTCGGGTTTGTTTTTATGTCTTTCCAAATATCTCTTTAGAACCTAGAAATAGATGACAACACCCAGAATCCCCAGCCAGCATGGAAGTGATGTAGATCTGCATTGTCTCAGAATGTATAGTCTGATGTGATACCATGAATAGTTACTTTTGTACAGAACACTGTTGTGTTTTTATATTTCTTATTTTACCAGTTGTGAGCCACCTTGGGTCTTCTATGGGGAGAAAGGTGGCTTATAAATAATATAAATAAATTCAATTTGTGTTTGCCAGGGTCAGCCATACCATGAACTATGGTATGGAGAAGAAAGCAAAGGCTTTAAAAACAAAAAAAACAAAAAACGGACTCAAGCAGGAGAGGAGGTAGTTTGGCTGCAGATCACATCCAGTGCTTGCCCTTACGCATTCCCGCAAGAATTAATTCAGTGGACTTACACAAGGTTATACGTGTATAATATTGTAGTTTATTCATTAATTATTTGCTTACCTAAAATATTTATATGCTGTCTTTTTCCTAAATAGAATCTAAGGTAGATTAGAGTATAGAAAACTAACAGTTACAGGGTACATGTTTGGCACAGCTAACTGGATTTGGCACACATTCTCTTGAAATTATTCTTGGTATAAGAATCTTGGAATAACATGGAATATATATATTCCATGTTATTCCAAGATTCTTGAACCAATAATATATATAGCATCTTCTGCAATTTATAATAAAAACATTAAGACTTCACTTGAATGTAAGATAACAAGAAATAAAAGTAAGATAACAAGAAACTGTTTCTCCTTTAAAAAGAAATATAAAAATTACACAGCACTATCTGACATTGAAAATCCAGCAGAGTAGTCTTTAAATGTGTAATAAAGCAAAGTAAGGACAGACCTAATATTAATTGTCTTGGAGGAAAAGTCTATGTCTGGAGTTACTAATAACCTACCATTTTGCATGGTGGTGGCGCTGCGAGGGACGTGGTGGCGCTGCGAGGGATGTGGTGGCACTGCGGGCTAAACCACAGAAGCCTGTGCTGCAGGGTCAGAAGACCAGCAGTTGTAAGATCGAATCCACGCGACGGAGTGAGCGCCCGTCGCTTGTCCCAGCTCCCGCCAACCTAGCAGTTCGAAAGCATACAAATGCAAGTAGATAAATAGGGACCACCTCGGTGGGAAGGTAAAAGCGTTCCGTGTCTAAGTCGCACTGGCCATGTGACCACGGAAGATTGTCTTTGGACAAAACGCTGGCTCTATGGCATGGAAACGGGGATGAGCACCGCCCCCTAGAGTCGAACACGACTGGCGAAAAATTGTCAAGGGGAACCTTTACCTAACCTTACCATTTTGCATGCTAGTGCATATAACAGAAGCTTTGATAATGGTCATAAATTGCAGACTGTGTCATTTGGGAGAAGAATTTACTGAACTTTGGTCTGATCATGCACTGTAAATCTATACTTGACACTGCTTTGATGTGTTTTTTTATTTTGTCTGAGCAGGTTCTCTTAGGAAAAGTGAAAAAAGTTCAACCTCCTAAAGGCAAAAAGAAGGTTGCTTTGGATCCAACACCAAACTATGACTGCCATATATCCAGAATTCATCCTTCAGTTAAAGATTCTTTGGAAGAACAAACCATTGGTTCTTTGGTAAGCAACCCTTAAAATTTTTTTACAGATATGTGTATAACACTTCATTTATACTTCATTTACTCTTCTTAAAACCAGTTTTATCAACATACAATTTAAAACAAATAAAAGCAACAGAACCTGCAACAAATCTAGAAAACAACATTTGAAGCCTGCAATAGAACATCTTGGAACACTTAGGGAAATAAAATAGTATTTGTCTGGCATCAGAATATCAGCATTGTACTGGGCAGATTTATTAGGGGTGATAATTTCCAGGTTTCCATAACTTAGGAGGCTTGCCAGTTACCACTAACATACAGTGGTGCCCCGCTTGACGACAAAATTGCTTGACGATGAGTTTTTTGCAATCACTATAGCAATCACAAAATGATGGTTCCTATGTGGTTTTTTTGCTTTACGTCAATTAGGTGCCTGGTTCGCGAACCGTTTGTTTGCAAAACGATGTTTTTTCCGGCTCCGCAAAATGGCTTCCTTTCGCAAAATGGCTTCCCTCCGCAAAATGGCTGTTTTCTGGACAGAAGCTTCGGAAGACAGCGATTTTAAACAGCTGATCGGCAGTTCTATATGGGCTATCTTTGCTGGACAATCAGGTATTTCCCCATTGGAATGCATAAACCGGTTTTCAATGCATTCCAATGGGGATTTTTTTTTTGCTTGACGACGATTTCACTTAACAGCAATTTTCCTGGAACAGATTATCGTCGTCAAGCGGGGCACCACTGTAATTTCAGAAGGAGGATGGACAAAGGCCTCTGATTAAGATTCAAAGCCTCTTACTATCCAGGGTTTGGATCTGAAACGTCGGAAATAACTTCACCCCTTCCAGTTGTTGTTAGTAAAGAACACAAATACATGCAGAGTTCTGTCAGGGTTCAGCAATAGGGTCTTGTTGTTTTGCAGTGATTTCAGGCAACACAGACTGCAGTAAAAATTGTGGAACATTTATTTGTGCATCAAGCAATAAGTAAGTGTCCTGAACTGGTGAGCGTGTTTTCTCTCCTTCCCCCAACGGGTCAGGAAGGCGTTTCCAGCCATCAAATACAAAAGGGTTGCTATAAGTATTGTTCCAAGGTCCCAGTAACTCAGGGGGTGTCCATCCCTTCAGGGTCATCCCCGACAGAGCATCAAGCATGGGCACGGCCTCATCCTCATCGAAATCGTCTCACTGGGCACCTCTCTCTTGCGCCAAGCCCTCCCAATTCGTTCTCTCTCTGCCAGCCTCCTCATCTCCGTGGCTCTTCATTCGATCCTCTCCTTTCCCTGACTACCCATTCTTTCTCCTCTCTTAACTTTCTTCTCCACGCTCTTGCTTCAGCTTCTCCCCAATAAGAGGGTCGTGGTGGGATCTCCGTCCACCACCTATAATCCGCTTTCTCTTTAGGTATCCTCAGTCTCTCTCCTTTTTGTGTCCACGGGTCTTGCATCCACATCCACTCCCAACCAAGAGGCAACTGATTCTCCTCTCTCCTCCTGTCCCCGCTTCTATCTTCTCCTTTCTCCCTCTTCTTTCCCTCTTTCTGACCCATATTCCTTTATTCC